GGGTGGGGGGGGGGCGGCGTAATGTAATCCAATGATGCCCGGTAGCAAAAGAATAAACACATTTTGTACACAGACCACTGCTTTAGGGCATTTGCCACGATGCTTATACCTCCATGAAAAGTCATCGGAAAATTCTGGAAAATGTCTCATTGTGAAGAAAACACTTTCTTCTATCAGACTATGTGTAAGAAAACATTCAGTACAGCATGTACAGCAAAGAAGGGAAAAGTTTATGAAACTAAAACAATGAGTATTTTTAGGCTTTGAAGGAAAAACTTCTAAACTGCATAACTTTTTGAAGAAAGGTCGTAGAGTACTGGGAGTGGTCTCATTTTGTAGCCCACATGTTCCTCTACATTGGGCTAAGCTCAGCTCAAAATCTGAAATTTTTCAAAAAAGAGGGAAACGGATACTCTTAATGTATTTTGATTGCTTTGTGAAGTTTATTTTCTTGAAATAAATCATATTCACTTATAACAATACCTTAATTATTATTCAATAAATGTGAAACCGTAGAAGGTTTTTCAATTATAGGCACTGCACGGTATTTGCTAATTTACTTCGTTCTACAAGTTGGAATCTGAACAGTCGATATATAATTTTGGTCAACATTTTATATCAGTAAACTGAAAATCAATACAAAAGAATTAAGATAACTTTGATCAGGTGCTATACCTGGAAACTCAGTTGAGATTGAAAAATGACAGTGAGTACATTTCTTATTCTCTTTCTTTATCTGTTCACTATCACAGTCGGCGTTCATTTCAATGGTGGTTCAGTTACATGGAGTCCAACCGATCCGCTAAATACCGGAAATCCAATCAACGTCACTATTATCCAAACGTATGCATGGACTGATCCTTTAGTCCAATGTACAGATGCAATGATAGCAAGTAAATCTCCAATTGGACCTGTAGGCGGTTTCTATCCTGGTCTCGCAGCAGCTGGCAGCTTAGTCTGCATTAACAATTGTGGATCAACGACTGGTCAATCGAAGGGATATGATAATTCGGCTGGGATACCAATTATGCCAGACTGTACTGATTCAAATCCAGAACTTGGCAATGTAATTGGTCAGCGACAAGATGTTGTAACATTATATATGAATGACGTTTTCACGGTAGCTTATCAGGGAAGCGCCTGGATAACATTAGGCACTGGATCAGGTGCAAGCTGGTCGATAGCGTCGAAGATTAATTTACAGCTTCGACCGGATGGCTACTATAATACGGCACCGATTGGAGCAACTATTTCACCGATCAATGTTGTACAAGGTCAAACCCAAACTATTGATGTACCAATATCTGATGCAAATAATGATATTCTCAAATGTAGATGGGCCAGTCAATCTAATGGTGAATGTGGTTCAACATCTGCATGCCCTCCTGGCTCACTTCCTTCAGTTACCACCTTGATAGCTCCATGCAGTGTTCAAATTACTACCACATCGAGTGTTGGAACATACTTTGCGTTATCGCTCATGGTAATGTGTTTTTACAGAAAAAGTTCGAGAAAAATTCTCAGTCATTTAGTGGTGAAGTTACGAGTGTAACGTCTGACATATATATATATATATATTCTGATCAACTTCATTCGCAAAATCTAAAACCTTTAATTCCTTGTTCAAAGAGGCGTGGATCAGCTGACCAATGTCGATCAGTCTACAAAAAATAAAACAGTTCAGATATGCTCCCACATATTACTTAAAAAAAATTTCTTGATAAATGATGTCTGTATCTTCACGTCGAGTTTTTAGAAAAAACTTCATTAAAAGTTAACCTTCCGTAATTCCTCTGTATCCGCCGCATTGTAGGTGGAAGACTATTACGATAACTCAAGTACAACACCCATGAGCGCAGTTCCCATTCAATTTCTTGTCAAAGTTGTTGATACCACCGCATGTGCTCGTCCAGAGGTGATCGGAGTTCCAGGAAAACTATCTTGCTTACCGATACAAGTTGGTACTCCATTTATAACGCAAATAATTGCGATAAACTATTGTCCTACTACAACAAATATAACCGAAATATCGACTTTATCAATTCCTGGAATGAATAAAAGCGCTTTGATTCGAAACGATTCATCTACCTATTATAGAACGCTTACATGGATACCGACATATGACCAAGTTGGACCTCAAGTAGTGTGTGCCGTAGCTGTGGACACGTGAGTAAAAACTCTTTCTTCGAATATGAACAATAAAAAGATGTCATTTACTTGTTTAGTCTGTCTGCTCAATCCGATCAGTATTGCTTCCTTTTTTTTGTTTCCTATGGTGAATTATGCGGCTGCCCTGGAAGTGGTATCACTTGTCCATCAACCACCTCGACTTCGAGTACATCCACAACCGAAACAACATCTACGTAAGAAGTGTCCTGACTAAAATTTCAAAAATACTGTCTTGTCTTCTCAGGTCAGCAACAACGTCGACGAGTACTTCAAGCTCAAGCACGAGCTCAACATCTTCTACCAGTACATCATCAAGGTAAGCATGGTTTTTGTGTAATTTTAGCCCGTGTATAATTCTTCCTTTACTTCAGTTCGACTTCATCAACGAGCACTAGCAGCACGTGAGTTTTGTTTACTTTTGGTCATTTACTCTTATCTTTCCCATAGATAAGCCTAAACGTCTGAAGACGAAATTTACTGAGAAACGTCAACTTCATGATTCCTAATTCTCTTGGCGAACGCCCGGGTCTTACAAATAAATTGTTTGGTTGTTTGTCCACATAGCAACGAATATAAAAAATATTATTTTTCGAAAATGAAAAAGAAAATTAATAATTAAATATTTTAGGCGCTATTAAGTTTTTTGGACTAATATATGTAAATGAATGCAATAGAAAGCTAAAAGCACAATAAACACAGAAAGATGATGTGTGTACGTTTTGATATTGGTTAAAATCAATCATGTCATTTTATGACATATACACATAGTTTATAGTATGTCATGGTATATAAATATTAAATATTGCGCTGGATTTGAATGGAATTTTGTTAAATAATTTGCTATACTCTTTGTACTTTGAAATACTATATACTTTTACAAAGTATAGCATAGAATAAGAAGCTAGACTGACAAGCTTTAGAAGCTACATTGACTGTGTTCAATGCAACAGAAAGTACTGGTTCATTCTCATAATTCTATGTTAAAATCCAATCTACTATGAAAAGCAACAAAGAAAACATTATCCGTCGTACAATAAGCCTTATACGTCTTAAAATAGGACCGACAACGATAAACCGATCAAAAGGTCTTATTTTACTACACATGTATTTTTAGAGCACTTACCGTATTTGTGGACTAGCAATGGCGGTAGTAAGCTGCAGAGTCGAAGACAAGATGATGAACAGCTTCTAAGAGGTGAACGTATCTACAAATTTCCGCTTTTATCTAAAATTTGTTTCATTCCTGAGAAAGTGCATTTTTTCTGAATTAGAAGCGAAAACATCAAAATCTGCCCGTAATTTTCTATTTTCTCCATCAGAACTCATTTTTTATGCAATAAGCATATTAATATTCAGAGTTAACGTTGAAAACCGAGTCGAATGATATAAACTTATGTTTCGAAAGTTTCCATTAATTTCCTTGTTTTAGTAAAAATGTCACTAATGTTTTGACGAGAAAATTCGAAAAAAACAAAGGTGGTTGGATAGGGTAAAAAAGTATATCATTTGACTCGATTTTCGACGCTAACTCCGAATATTATATGTGTATTACATAAAAAATGAGTCTGATAGAGAAAATAGAAAATTACGGGCAGATTTCGATTTTTTCTCTTCTAATTCAGAGAAAATGTACTTCCTCAGGAATGAAGCAAATTTTAGAAAAAAGCGATGGATATTTTCGTAGCACAAATCAAGCCCGATCGAATGGTGCAAAAATTAGAATTTCATCTCTTAACACAAAAAGCTAGACAGCTTTTTGCGGCGAGGCCTTCGCTTTTGAGCTATGCTTGTAAACCAATTTTTTGTACAATCACATTACAGATGGAGACCTTCGAATACACATTTCCTAATTGAGTTTTTAATGCTAAATCCGAAAAAAACGTTTGGAAGCTTCAAAATACAAAGGAAAAAAATATTTAACTGTTTCGAAACACGAAGGTTTTTCCCGATGTTGAGACCTTCGGAATGTTAGTTAAAAAAAATAAAACTAAAAGTATACTGAGTTGTTTGAATTAGCGGCGCCTTATATATAGTTGTATTTTCATCGTAAACTATAGCTGATGATGATTACAGTTCGTAATCGAAAGCTTGGGTTTTTTAAAGAAACAACTAATGATTGTTGTGTGTATACAATTGTTATTATCTGTACTAAATACATTACAGCAAACAGTATTGACAAAACTAAATCAAAAATAATGAAAAACAATTGACATAGATTGAAAAAAAATCAAAAGTCGCTGAATCACAACAGATGACAAGGCGAGATTGTTGAACCTCTCCTATATTGTCCACATGAATTTTCCTTTTGTTTCATTTTTATACTATTCGAGGTAGAAAGATTAGAGGAACAAAATACACGAAAAAAATTTTGGAGTCGCCATATGGATGGTTTATATTAAAACAATACGGCCTGGCCAGCTAACTCTACCTGCGTACGTAATTCCGTGACGTTTTTCTATGATTTTGTTTTATTTGCAGAAATTTTTGAAAAAGTCAGAACTCAAAAGTAAATAAACCATTTTGTAGACAA